AAAAAAAAAACAACAGACTTTTATGTCATAAAATTTACTCTGATTTACAAATCTGGTCTTTTAGAAGGTTTTACTGGTAACTTTTTTCCTAAATGATTTAAAGCAGCAATCCCTTTGGGTAGCATTGTATACATACAAATAGCGTATTTCTTACGCATGTTCCTTGACTGTGGCAAAGTTACTAGAAGGTAATGATACAAAAATACCCAACTATTGTTATTAGAGTGGTAAAAATGTCGTTAATTTTTAGTTTTCTTCTTTGTATTTTCCTGTATTTTTCCTATTTCCAGCAATATTGTTTTAATAATAAAAAGAACTAGTTAAAGTGGTTTTAAAAAGCAGAAGGAAGGGCACCTGGGCGGCTCAATCGGTTAAGCGTCCAACTCTTGGTCTCGGCTCAGGTCATGACCTCACAATTCATGGGTTCAAGCCCCACATCGGCCCCTGCACTGAATGTGGAGCCTGCTTGGGATTCTCTCTCTCCCTCTCTCTGCCCCTTCCTCTGCTCTCTCTCTCAAAAATAAATAAAAAAAAAAAAAAGTAGTCAGTCTGGGTCAACTGACAGAATTGGAAAATGAAAGGTAGATCTTAACCTTCCTAAAAAGGGTAACTATACAGTGGTTACTTAAGAAAATACCCTGTTCACGGGAAGCACACACTGAAGAATTCAGGAGTAAAAAGGCATTTAACTTACTTACCAAACGTGGAGGAAAAAATAATACACACAGACACACAGAAATAAAGAAAGAATACTAAAAGTTTATATAAAATAAGTGGGCAAAATGTTGACAGCACACGTCTGTATTATAGGTCTTTGTGCTACTTTTCACCCTTTCTGTATGCCTGAAATTACTTTTAATTTTGAATAAAAAGTAGTAGTAGCTTAACAGAGGAGGGTGTAACTTACCTCAATGTTTTCTTCCCCAAATTTCTCCACAGCCTTCTCCTCAGAAAGACCACAAGCACCATACTCCAAAGGAGTAAACACAGTTGTCGGAACATTTTCATAGTCACACTGGTTCAGAATGAAGAGAAGAGTTACAACAGGAGAAATTGTAACCCAAAAAAGGGTGTATGGCAAAAAAGGCTCAAACTTAGGAGGGGAAAGCAGACTAATAAATTTCTACCAAAAGTATGGGAAGTCAGAAACCCAAATATCAGACCTACTGTGCTGAGAACCATCAACTCATGTGATCATTTCAGGAAAGGTGTGAAACCTGGCAAGACCAGTCACGCCTGCTCCGTCCGTCAACCAACCGATGTCAACAAGGACGCACTGCTTCTCCCTTTATCAAGCAGCCAAAAACAATACGAGTGCACCCGACGCTAAGAGTCTCATCTTGGTGACAGGAATTAATAGACTTCTTTTGGGAAATCAATTAGGTAACGCCTATTAAGAGCCATAAAAACATTCTTTACCGTTGTGCCAAGAACCCCACTCTTAGCGTTCTATAATAATAATTTACCGTCTAGAAAAAGCTACATGCGTTAATGGAGCACTCTGCAGCACTCAACAGCGGCTGTCTCTTGGGATTAGCAAATCCCAAGGGCAAACAGGAAAGTGGTTCATACTCTCAGTGTATCATTATGCAGCCACTGAAGCGGGAATGAAGACTACAGAAACAGAAAAGGTTAGTGACAGTATTTCCAAAGCATATTTTATGATGTTAACAATGCAGATGACTAAAGGGTTCTGAAGTCAAACAAGTCTGTGAAGCGCTGGATTAAGCAAATAAACAGGTTTCTCTACTACTGATTTCTCAGAGCCTTCAGTATACAGATGTGAATTGTGGAAAAGGTATTATGTAAGTGCCAAACACGTTTGTAAATGCTAGTGGGTAAAAATCTACCAGTCACATCAGTACACAGAGGTGAGCCTAATAAGTAACATTCTGCATTTAAAATATTGGAAATTCAATTCTCAATTCTCATTCTTTAAAACCCTAGTGTAAAAATCTTTAAAATGTGTCTCCCTCTAGAAACAATAAATATAATTCTTTTTCTCTAAAAAGAGCATAAACCCTTGGAATTCTGAATCAAAAGTAAAGGTAGGGGCGCCTGGGTGGCTCAGTCAGTTGAGTGTCCAATTTCGGCTCAGGTCATAATCTCATGGTTCGGGTTCGTGAGTTCGAGCCCCGCATGAGGCTCTCTGCCATCAGCAAGGAGCCCGCTTCAGATCTTCTGTCCCCCCACCCTTCTCAAATAGAAATAAACTTAAAAAAAATAAAACAAAAGTGAAGGCAGACATCCACGTACAGCCATAATGGTATGCCAGGGACCAATTTACTTTCCTGCTGTCGACAACTAGACCACCAAACAGCAGGCGACAAACACTTCCAGACAAGGGACGACAGGCAGTGCGGGCCTGTGATCCCGACAGAAGGGAAACGAATGAGGCGAGCCTGGAGGTTTCTCTAGTTTGCTGCCCAGAGCACTTCCTGAGGACTGGGTGCAACAAGAGGGAAACCAAACAGAGCACAGCCGTATCTCTGAGTTACGGAGGCTGGAAGCTGCACGGCGGAGACCCCGAGGGCAGAGCTGCACAAAAAGAACTCTTGACATCTGCAGAGATTTGGGCTGAGAACTGATCTGTAAATGTGTCACAAGAGGGATTCAAGGGTGAGTAAAGAACCACGGGAGAGCAGTAAGCAGCAGGCCCCCAGAGCCTTATGGGACTGGAAATAGTTTCGGTTCCCTGGAGCCAAAGCAGAAAGAATTCATAAAGTAAGAGGAATGGGGTGGAGTTCTCCAAAAGGCATCAGTTTAGTGGTGGAACCAAATCAGCCCTAGATAAAAGGTGGTTATTGGCAGGCCCTAAAAAAGCTTTTAAAAGCAAGTTACAAAAGGATAAAACTAATTCCATGTACCTTAACAGGCTGTCAGAGCAAAACTGAACACCATATAAAGGAATTCAATAAAACCTGGCACCCAACAATGTAAAATGTTCAACATACAACGTCCACATCCTTCCAAATGAACAAGACATGCAAAGGAGCAAGAACATGTGAGCCAATACCAAGAAACATCAATGAACAGAAAGAGACACTGAAAAATAGATGACAGAATTAATAGAGGACATTAAATGAGCTACTATAAATATGTAGAGAACTGAGAAAAACATGAACTTCCCGAGGAGAGAAAAGGAAGACATTTTAAATAAAACTAGTAGAGATGAAAAAACCCAGTTGAAGCGCAAATTACACAATACAGAATTAATAGCCTAAGAAGTGGAGAAATCAGCAGACTTGAACTTGATCAGGCTCTCTAAGAAAATAATGCGCAGAAAGGGGTGGGGGGAAAGAACATGAAAAGAGCATCAGAGACCCACAGGATAATACTGAGTGAACCAACATTCATTAACTGGAGGCTGAGGGGAAAAAATAACTTGATGACAAAGGCAAACAGATAAATCCAAGAATCCTGACAAATCTTAAGCAGAATAAATATAAGAAAAAGCATGCCAAGACATACAATAATTTAGCAGTTAATTGCTAAAAAATCACTGATAACAAAAAAAATCTAAAGAAGAATAAAGATAACAATGATAGCATACTTCTGTTCAGAATCTATGCAACCAGAAATAGTAGGCAAATTGGTAAAATATTTAAAGAAACACAGTAAGTGTAGAACTCAATATTCAGCAAAAATATCTCCCCCCCCTCAAATGGAAGTAAAATAAACAACAACAACAAAAACCACCACCACCACCAACAAAGAGGAGAAAAGGAATTCACCAGGAGCAGACACACACTAAATAACTGTGAAAGGAAATTCTTCAGGCAGAAAAAGGTGTATCAGATGGAAATCTGCATTCACATAAAAAGACCAGTTTCTTCCGGGTTCCAAAATGCAGTTTCCAATCGACTTAAATGACCGTTGTGGCCTAGCCTGGAAAATGTAATCCTCGTTTCTAACACTCTTATCTGGAAAGCGTACTCGGTAGTTTTCACAACAACCAACTTAATGAACTTTTAAAGATATGTGTACTGTAGCTGCTCCAGAGTTTCCACAGAAAATATTTTATATAAATATATATATACAGGGGCGCCTGGGTGGCGCAGTTGGTTAAGCGTCCGACTTCAGCCAGGTCACGATCTCGCGGTCCGGATCCGTGAGTTCGAGCCCCGCG